TGCTTGGTAAAGTTTCAGCACCAATATTTAATGGAAGGTAAATCTAGTGCTTGGTAAAGTTTCAGCAATAATCATAGAATCATAGAATCCTTTAGGTTGGAAGGGACCTTTAAGGTCATCAAGACCAACCATGGAGCCATTAGGGCTCAAAACTCCTCTGCTAAAACATCTATATGAAAGGTAAATCCAGTGCTGGGTAAAGTTTCAGCACTAGTATCTAATGGAAGGTAAACCACGTGGTTTCATAGAGGCATTGCCTCTAAACTTATCCCATCTTACCCTTAATCCTGACATGTCAATGGTGATGGCTGGAATGCCTTCTTCATCTCCCTTGGGGGCAACCTGGTCCAGCAAGTGGTAATAAGCTCTCGAGTCCTGTGGCAGAGACATGAAAGGGAGGAAAAATGAATCTAAAGCTCAGGTTTTGGGTGCCAGTGCTTCCCTGAGCAGTGTGCCTGCATGCTTCATCTTTATTACATCCTGGGTGCCAGTGCTTCCCTGAGCATGCCTGCATGCTTCATCTTTATTACATCAGTTACTGCACTACGTCATTAAATTAATTAAGCTGGAAGCACTGATCAGTTCCTACCAGGCTGTATGAGCCAGGTCTGTGTCTTCCCTCAGCCAATGGCTGCAGAATGCTGAACACAGGAGACAAAATGCTGTGTGTTGTGTCTACAAAAAACCCAGTATCAACAAAAAGCTGTTGGGATTTAGCTTAATCTGGACATTAAATCAGAGAGGGGGAAGTGCATACCTTGATAATGCTGTAGAAGTCAGGCTGCTGAGCATTTAATAAAAGAAAAGAAGGAGAAAGCAGATGTTTAAAGCAGGTTTCAAAGCAACGCTGGAGCAGTTGTGGAAGAGAAAGCAGAGTTTACAAGGACAGGAGTTAAAACTGACAACAGTATCAGCATTTTTTCAGGCAAAAGGGGCAAGAACAAGGCAAAGATTTAACATGTTGTGTCTTTAATCTTTTGTGAAATTTAATGTTGCTTCCACATGTGGAAAATATTCATCTCACTTTAGAAATCTCACTTCTAAGAGATGAAAATAAAGCACATGTCAGTGTCTAGAGACTTGACTAACCCAACTAATCCCCTTCTAAATATAAAGCAGATTGAATTATTTTAAATCTCACTCATATACAATGTTACCCACCATATCTAGAAGGTGGTTGTTTATTTAAAGAGTGAGGTGGGGAGACACTTAATGAGAGAATGGCTGTAAGAGCTGAAGTCTTGGCCTCTTAGAGGCAAACATGCAACTTATTTTCCAACTGAAGATGGCAAGTGCAATTTATCTTTCAACTGCAGACAGGATTTAATTGATTACATGATAGTCCTCTCAGAGAGAAAGATGGGAAAGACTTTATTCCCTTCCCTTCCCATGGATATTCTCCAGTCACCTTCACCCAGCCCATCAAAAATCTGTTATAATAAAGTTGACTGTGACTCTCAGACTCTCCTGTTGCCTTCTCTGGGGTATTTTTCTGTGTGTCAGAGGAGTCACAGTAAATGACTTCTCCTGCTTTGGTCCCTGGTGAAGCCTACAACCAGGCACCTCTGGAGTGGAGCTTTTCCAGTGCTATACTGGGCGTGGGCAGGTTGGGTCCTGGTTGGTGAGGCTGGTGTCCTGGCCAGCCCCTGCCTGCCCTGGAAGCTCAGACTCCCTCTCAGATACCCCCCCTACAGCCCTGGGAGGCTGGGTGGCCCTCACAGGGTAGCTTTTAGTCTTTGAAACTCATCAGTGTGCACCACTGAGGTTCCAACACAGCTGTCTGAGAAGAATGAAGGTCCTCCAGAGAAAGCTCTGATGAAATCTGCACCCCCAAGCCCTTGGAGTTCCAAATCTGTGAAATATGAAGCATCTCTGTGAGTGCCTCCACATCTAGCTGTATCATCCCTGTTTGGAGGGCAGGGATTTGGGTATGGAGCTGCTGTTTTGCTGTTGTTGGTCAGTGTTTCTCATACCTTGATGTCTGTGCTGAAGTTGTTGACTTTGTTGCACCCTGCATTCTCCAGGTGGTAGTTTGCCCACCTCAGCAGCAGTTCTTCTGGAGACAACTTCATCAGATCCTCCAGGCTTTCTCCTTCTCTCAGAAGAGCAATCAAGGCTAAGCAGGGGAAAGAAGAAAAAATAATGGCATTGGGAATCCTTCTAGAGGAGAATGTATCATTATTTTCTCTCTTACACCTTTTGCTAAGGTAGTTTCTAAAAGTGAGTGACCAAGTGTTGCCAAAATTCAAGCTGAGTTATGGTGACAGAGAACACAGACAGCAAAAGGGTGTCATCAATAAAATGAGGACAAGGATGTTACAGATCTAGTAGTGGATCATATAGAAGACAGTGTAGTCTAAGAACTACACGATCTCCTTGCCTCAGATCTGATTGAAAAGATGATGATAGAATCCTAGAAGAGTTTGGGTTGGAAGGGACCTTTCAAGGTCATCTAGTCCAACGTCCCTGCACTGAGCAGGGACATCCTCAACCAGATGAGGTTGCTCAGAGCCCTGGCCAACCTCATCTTGAATGTTTCCAGGGATGGAGAATCTACCACCTCTCTGGGCAACCTGGGTCAACGTTTCACCACCCTCAGTGTAAAAAAATTCTTCCTTATATCTAGTCTAAATCTACCTTCTTTTAGTTTAAAACCATTACCTCTTGTCCTATTGCAACAGGCCCTGCTAAAAAGACTCTCCCCAACTTTCTTAGAAACCCCCTTTAAGTCTTGAAAGGTTCCAATAAGGTCTCCCTGGAGCTTTTTCTTCTCCAGGCAGAACAACCCCAACTCTCTCAGCCTCTATAGGAGAGGTGCTCCAGCCCTCTGACCATTTTTGTGGGCCTCCTCTGGACCTGCAGCTGGACTCCAAGGGGTCCATGTCTTTCCTGTGCTGAGGGCTTCAGAGCTAGATGAAGGGAAAAGATGGGAGTGAAAAGATTAACAGAGCCTTTCATGCATCTTAGATGAAAGAAATCTCAGTGACCTTCATGCTGAAACTGAACCCACACAGGTAGTCTGAAAAACTTCCACGTGAACTCATGGGTTTATGGGTCAGCAGCATCAACTCACCTCTCAATGGGGGTTGATGCCTTATTTATATAGAAAAATTAACATAGTTATGTTCATAAAAGTACAACTAAGAGTATGGAAACTCATGGTTGATGTGATACCAAGGGAGAGTGTGTCCCACCACTGTGAGCTCCTCATATCTGTAGTCAATCCTTGGAGAAACATGGATTTGCTACACAAAACTGTGGAGATCTACTGGATCTGGAGTCCCACAGATAATTGATATAGGATTTTATGGGGTTAAATTGAACCAGAAGGGGATAATAGAAGCATTTTTCAGTAGATTTTATGAACAGAATGATGTTAACCCTGAGATAAGTAGGCTGGAAGAAGGATTCTTGTGGAGCTGATCGTGGATTGATCTTTGGATTAATGTTTTCTGGGGTTTTTTTGCATCAGTTATGTTGGCACAAGTACTAGCAACGTGCTAAAAATTTGATGCTGATGTTCACTAGGTGGCACAGTGAATACAGAGGATGATGAAAAAATCAGAGAGAAAGAATCAGATAACAGTAAAGAAATGGAATGTAATTTAATGGTGTCGTGTTCAAAGACATTCACTAGGGAATTAATAACTGCTTTTAGCTAAAAGCTTACACCAACAGAGGCTATAAACAACTCCAGTGTATTAGATGTCTTCTGAGCTACTCTGAACCACCACCTGATGGGACCAAGGGTGGTGGTTTAGAGCTGGACACCACGTGCCTGCTCCCTCACCCCCATCCCCAGGCAGGGAGGAGAGCAGGGAGAGGAAAAAAAACCCCAAACCCCAGGGGTTCAGATGAGGAGAATTTAATACAGCACAAAAGAAGTAACAACAGGAACAGCAACGAGGGAACACACACAATGAGTGGTACAGAACAAAGTGCTGCCCCTGAGCCCAGCCCAGGCAGCCCCCCACTGGAGCCCAGGCAGCCCCCCTGGCCCCTGGGGCACAGGCATGGGCTCAGGACAGACCCAAATCATCTACCAGCTCCTTTGGTTGCCTATCCTGGCTGTGCCCTCACTCCAGTTTCTGTGAAAATTAACCCTGTCCTAGCTGAATCAGGGCACCAGGGAAAACCAAAGGTGCTGTTAGTGCACCCCAGGTATTTCCCATAGAGGTTGGGGTGTATTATTGCCTTGATTTATTCCATGTGCTTCTAAGAGCTCACTGGAAATGCAGTGTCCATACTCCAAAAAAGGGGAATTTCACCTGGAGCAGTTGCTGAGAAGGGCTATCAAGGAAAGAGAGGCTCTGAAAAGAAATCAACACTCTCCTGGCTTGTCCACCCTGACAAACAGCTCTGAGATGAGAGGTGACAGAGAAAAAAACAGAGAGGGAAAAATAAATATCTATTGAGCAGGGTAAGGGTAGCTACAAATGAATGGGAACTGGAGGCTCTGGCTATGGCAGGAGTAGAAATGAGCAGGGTCTGAAGCACTGAAGGTAATAGCTGGGTGGTAACTGGAGGACAGAAGGGTCACTGGTGGTGAAGTGAGCTCTCCAGAGGCAGAGGGAACCAAGCAGCAAGGTGAGGTGTTGTGTGGCCTCCACCTACACACCCCCAGCCTCATGCTGGAGCTGTTTCAGGGAGAATTTTTGGCACTGGTGAGAGCCAGCTGGAGTGCTGGGTCCAGGCTGGGGCTCCCCAGTACAAGAGAAACATTGACAAACTACAGCAAGCTGAAGGGAGGGAGACCAAGATGGTTGAGCTGGAGGAAAGGATGGATGAGAAGCAGGGGAGAAAACTATGTTTGTTTAGTGTGGAAAGAGGTGTGAGAGGGGAACAAGTATTGTCCTCCAACAATACCAGAGCTGCCAGACCTGTGTCTTCTCAGCCTGCACAACAAAAGGATGAGGAGTTACAAGGTGCAGGAAGGGAAATTCCAACCAGAGACAAGAAAAAAATATCCTAGGAAGAGTGGTGGAGCTCTGGAAGAGGGTACCCAGAAAAGGCCCTGAGCAAACATCATCTCAGCATGAGACTGGGAAGTAGGTAACTGGATGGTTGAACATCTAGGGTGGACCTCCAGAGGTTCCTCACAGCCTAAATGATTCTGTGTTGCTATAACTCTGATTGCACAAAGAAAGTTCTTTTTTTTTAAGAAGAACTTTGTCCTAAAAACTGTCCACTGGAAACAACAGAGCACTGAAACAAAGTGCCATACATACCTTCATTTCTGCTGATCTCTATGTCAGCAAAGAGTCCAATCTTGATGACTTGCCATAAAAGACCCAAAACCAGGTAAGGTTTCCCTTCTTTTAGGTCTTCAGCTCCAATGTTCACAACGTGGCACCCAATGGCTGAAGCAGAGTTCAGAGCCAGGTTCAGATTTTCCTAGGAAAAGAAGAGAACTTCCAGTACCTGGAGAGCTGAGGATGCAGGAAGGGAGCACAGCCAAAAGAGTGAAACCTGTGAGCAGCTTCACTGTGAATGCATTCATGTACATAGACTCCTAGAGGAGGTTGGGTTGGAAGAGGTCATCTAGTCCAACCCACTGCAGTGAGCAGGGACATCTTCAACTAGATCATGTTGCTGCAGAGCCCAGTCCAACATGACTTTGGATGTTTCCAGGAATGGAGCCTCTTGTCAGACAGTGTAGTCTAAGAACTACACGATCTCCTTGCCTCAGATCTGACTGAAAAGATGATGATAGAATCCTAGAAGAGTTTGGGTTGGAAGGGACCTTTCAAGGTCATCTAGTCCAACGTCCCTGCACTGAGCAGGGACATCCTCAACCACATGAGGTTGCTCAGAGCCCTGGCCAACCTCATCTTGAATGTTTCCAGGGATGGAGAATCTACCACCTCTCTGGGCAACCTGGGTCAACGTTTCACCACCCTCAGTGTAAAAAAATTCTTCCTTATATCTAGTCTAAATCTTTTAGTTTAGTCTAATTCTTTTAGTTTAAAACCATTACCTCTTGTCCTATTGCAACAGCCCCTGTTAAAAAGACTCTCCCCAACTTTCTTAGAAGCCCCCTTTAGGTATTGAAAGGTTCCAATGAGGTCTCCCTGGAGCTTTTTCTTCTCCAGGCAGAACAACCCCAACTCTCTCAGCCTCTATAGGAGAGGTGCTCCAGCCCTTTGACCATTTTTGTGGCCCTCCTCTGGACCTGCTCTAACAAGTCCATGTCTTGTGCTGAGGACACCATAGCTGGACAGAGCACTCCAGGTGGGGTCTCACCAGAAGAAAGCTGATGGGGAGAATCGCCTCCCTCAACCTGCTGCCCACACTGCTTCAGATGCAGCCCAGGGCAGCTCTGACCACGGGGAGCAGGGGGACAGAGAATCTCCTGGAATTCCAGCTGAGCTTTGGGGCCCAGCCTGAAGACAGAGAGGAGCTGTTTGGCAAAAGGGGAAGACACCACAGCACGAGCCACTGGAGCTCAGAGCACACATCTGCACTCCCAGTGAGGTCCTGGCTCCATCCTGATGCTGAGAGGCAGGTTCTCCCTGGAGCTAATGCACAGACAGATGGAGGAAGGAGGGACCCACATCCCAACTGGCTGGCAGCTCTTCCAGGCTCCACTCTCCCTAAGCACTAGGCAAGAAACCCTGGCACCTAAGGTACAAACATGTTCCTTGGTGGCAATGTCTCCAAAAAGGAATCCCAGGGTCAGAGGAATGAGTAGGAATAAAGCTGTTGAGTTTTTAACCTTGCAGTCCAGCCAGGGTCAGAGCTGGTCAAACCTGGATGTTTTCTCTTTTTTGAACTTTGGATCTCTGGTTTGGGAGTGTGCAGTGGGAGCAGAGGGATTCTGTGATTCACAGGGAGGGGCAGAAGCAAAGTGATGGTTCAGGATCAGTGTGGTCTTTCACCACTTCCAATTTAAAGCAAAGGGTGTAAGAAAATCTGACCCACAGGTCTGCACTGTTCAGAAAGGTGGCTTGGTAAAGAAGAGGGTAAATACAGCCTGGAAAATATAATTTATCACACAGATTGACAATTTTTCCCATGAATTTCATCACAGCTGGCATGACAGAGATTCCATTAGATGCAAAATGCAGAGAGAGACAGTGTAAGCTCTCATAAGCTAGAAAAATTAGAGCATTTCAAATTAATTACCTTTTCTCTACCAGACAGCTGTAAAAGGGTGAAGTCAAAGTGGAAGCTGTATTGATCCAATCCTGTCTGTGTGTGACAGGAATTGATCAGAGCTGCCTCACCAAGCTATGGTGCTGACCAAAATGATTAGGGCTGAAAAATGTTGTACACAGCATAAAAACTCAAGGTAATGGCTTCTGAGGCTAATGTTCCATCAGATCAGAGCAGCTGAGGGTTAAACTGGGTTAGGCTCATACCTGTTCCATAAATCTGTTTATATTCTGTCCCCAGACACAGAGATGTTGTTCATATAAAAAAACTCTCCCTACCTTCTGCTGTGTGAGAAACATCATAAACTTTAAATGGGTGGAAATCAGCTTTTTTGTCCCATTTTTACATCATACACATGTGCACATAATAGAAATAAAGAAGTGATTCAGTATTTCAGGTGAAATGGCAGATTGTGAAAGGCAGGCAAAGGCTACAGTCCCATCTCAGGGGTCTGGTGAGGACATCAGACTGGTGGTGGAGGCCCCATCCCTGGGGGTCTTGAAGGCCAGGCTGGAGGAGGCTCTGGGCAGCCTGATCTAGTGGGAGGTGTCCCTGCTCATGGCAGGGGGGTTGGAACTGGGGGATCCTTGGGGTCCCTTCCAGCCCTGACAGATTCTGATTCTGTTTGAGCAGAGGACTTTAGAGCCCTAATGGCTCAATGGTTGGACTTGATGATCTTGGAGGTCTCTTCCAACCTAAAGGAGTCTAGGATTCTGTGACTACAACACAGCAGCTGTGAATTTTTGGAGTCCATGGCCATGCCTGTGTGACCTTGGAGGTGGGGTTCAGCCTTCTGAGAGCTACTCCAACTGGAACTGGTCACCATATTATCTACTTGCTCTTGAATTCCTAGGGCACCTACCACCCAAATATCTAAAACTTTGACTTAGGAAACACTGGACATTGGGTTATGTGCACAGGCAAACACAGATTGTTTGGTCAGAGGGCTCATAAGTTTGGAAAGAAACAGAAATGTCAATCTTTACTTTTTTATGATGTGGATTAACATCTCACTTTGCCACAAACACCTTTGCCTGATTTGTGTTGGGCAGGACCACAGTAAAGCATCAAAGCACCTTAGAGGATCAAATTATCAAAGCATCCTAAGAGGCAAAACAAAGAATCTTGTTGTATTTTAGTACCTGTATTGTGAAGGGTGTGAGTTTCTTTTTGTTGATTGTTCTCTCATCGATGGTATCTGGCACTGAGAAGTTGATCATCTTACTGGAAATAAAAGGAAAAAATCAATAAGAAATACACTGCTAGCTGTGTGTGCACAAAATACAGATAGAGCTTTGGTCACTACATCACAGGACAGGTCAAAGAGCTGGAGAATTCCTGAACAGATAGAGTCAGCCTCTGTTTTCACACGTGCTCACAGAGGCACACACACAACACTTGAGTCAGTATTTAGGGTCATATCCAGATTGTTCTATAGATGTGAGGCCACAAGCTGGGAGAGGAGTTCACTGTGCAGAAGATTTCTGTCACTCACTGTCTTGTGCTGCTCCTTGTGAACCCCCAAAAGTCCTTGGACAAGAATAAAACCAAGTAACTCCTCAGATTTCCTTGCCTTCATTTTATTGCAAGGATCCAGAGGCAAAAAAACCCCCAACAAACCCTCTCATTTAACAGGAAAGAAGCTTTATATTTTTAATGATAAAAGAAGCAAACACACCAGCATTATTAAGGCCCTGCAAATATTCATGAGCTTCATGTAAAGCCAGCAGCTTCCATCTCAGCAGAGATGTGAGTTTCTGCAGAGCCAGTTCTGAGGAAGATGGGTGTCACTCACCAGAGCACTATGCCATCTCCAACTGCCTGGAAGAGGTCATCTGTTTCTGGATTCATTGGGACCACGTGCTTACAGTCAGGGTCCCTCTCAAGGGCTTTATTAATCCAGTTGACAAAGGCATATTTTTCTTCCTCTGTGGACACAACACCAAATCCATCAGTTTGCTGGTCAATACCCCCACCGTTATTTTACTTACAAAGGCAGAACTTTTGGGGGAGAAGACTCTCCCACCAGTGTTTGTTGATCAACAAACCCCTTACAAGGGAAGAAGACTCTGAGGAGATGGGCAAATGAGCTGAAGGTAGCCATGGGCTTGAGCTGGTTAATACTCCTTCCATACTCCTCCTCACTGGTGGGGTTTCCCAGTGTCATGAAGGCAAGCATACTACAGAGGCTGGTGCTGAAGTCCAGGGGATTCAAGTGTAGGCTGCAGTTGCCATGCTCAGCTAAATGTCATTTGCACTTGCATGATAATTTGAAGGTGTTGTTGTATCTCTCTGTTCAATGGAAACCCCACATCAAGTTCATATAATTCAATTCTGTATTGGACATTACATCCTCCACGTGTGGGGTGTCTAGAAGAGCCTGGCCAAGACTGGACCCTGACAAGGAGCATCCAGAGGGCAATGGGAGAACCTTCCCTCTAGTCCAACCAAGCTGTAATGGAGCTATTCTGTGCTAGGAGCAGCTCACACCACCCCCAAGAGCTCAGAGAAGGTGTCCTCAGAGATGAGGTGGATTGAGAAGCATCCTCTGTGCTCCCTTCATCAGAGAGGGTCATTTCCCCACCCTTGCCCCTGGAGAAGACAGCCACGGGTGGGATCTCTTCCCTGTGGAGCAGCTTCAGAGAGGGCTGTGCCCAAGAGGCAGCAGAAGCAACCAGGGCTGCCCCAAACTTCCAGCTGGAAGAAACACATTGGCAGAAAAGCCTTGATGGGGTTGTGCCCTCTTTAGATAAAGGTCAGGAACCATTTGGTTGCAGGGGAGTTTACAGAGAGTCTCCCAGACTAAAAGGTACAAGGAGATGGGTTGGTGACAGCAGGGAACTCATGCCTTGCTTCACTGGTGAGCAGGGACAGCAAGGGGCCAGACTTTGTGCTCCTGCAGCCATGCCAGGAGCCTGTTCTCCAGAAGAACCCCCATGCATTTAAGGTGAGAGGAGCTGGAGGTTCCTCCCACAGCCACAGCTCTGTCCACCCCCATAAACAGCCTCACACTATTTGTGATGAAGACCTTGCTCTGGTGCTTTGTCACCTTCACAACCCTTTGCCTTGCACCAGCCTCACCTGAACAGCCACTGGAGCTCAGTGAGGCCAGAGAACCTGGTTTTGTACCAAGATATGGTGCAGGTGACCTCCAAAAACACATGTTGCTAGCTGCTGTGTGTGTGGGACAGCTGTACCTACCTGAGTAGGAGTGCTGTGTCCCAGCACTGGACTGCTCAGAGGTCCCACCAATGGCACAGATCCCCTCCTTTTTGTTGATTTGTTTTCGGAAGGACTTAGCAACATCATCACTCTTCAGGTTTTGGAAAATCTTTCAAGCACAAGAGACAATTTTGAAGAATTAGATCGAGCTAAACCAGGGAGCTCTTGGGCCAGGAGACAAGTCCTCTCTGCTTCAGACAGAGGGAAGCCCACTTGGTGTATTAGTCAGGGGGTTTCTGTGCATCTGCTGTGGCCAAAGAGGATCACACACAGCTCTGATGGTCTCAGAGTAGTTAAGAACGACCAGCTGAGTAACAAACAATGAAACCCCAGAGGTAAAATGTGCAGGAGTGAGGCCTTGAACAGCTGGAGTTTCAAGAAAGGAGGAGTGAAAATCTGTTCCTCCATCCAAAGGGAAATTCCATTATTTTGGCACTGGCTTTTGTCTCAGCTCAGACTGGAAAAAGAAGGTTTTTAATAGGAAAAAAATGTCCCATCAAGTTTTCAGTTTCAATCTGCTGAAATTTTTCATAACCATCTAGCCAGAATATAATCTTTCTGCAGCTTATAGCTGAAAAAATTCCTCAACAGAACTGAAAGATAGTAAGGCTGTTTAATACACAGCTGCATTCCTGTAACTTGCCCCTGTTAATTGCAGGATTTCTAATTCTGTTGCCTCCTGCTCTCCTCTTTTCCAGCAAAGAGGATTAACCAGGAGCCCATGAGACCCTGTGCTTGTGCCTTTGCCATGCCACGGGGACCACCTTCAGCAGCCTGCCTGGCATCTTACTTACTAAAGTAGATAACATCTTACTTACAGAAATAAATTCATCAAAACTGATCCTGCCATCCCCTGTGGTTGTCAAATTCTGAATGAGTTCTCTGGCTTTATACCCTGGGAGGGGGAGGTTGGCTGCCTTCAGCACGTCTGTCAAGTCGTTGGCGTGGATGAAGCCATTCCCACTGATGTCTGCAAAGATCAAAGCAGAGATTTAGTTTCTCTAGCAGCCCCATGAAATTTTATGCCCAGAAAGGTTGTTGGCTTTGCTTTACCTGCAGAAGGGTACACTAAATATAGATTGGTTATCCTGAAATCCAGTATTTTCAACCACTCTGGTGTCGTTCATACTGAAGAAAAATTACAGCCACCATAGGACAAGAACTCACAGGGATGAATTTAGGTTTTAGGCAGAGAGTAATATCTTAACAAAGCTATGCTCAGATGGATAGAATTGACTTCCTGAGGTTTACATTTAGACAGAAATGATTTATAGAGGCAGTATCCTGTCTACAGAACAGCTGAAGAGAATGGATTTGGTGCAGTGCAGAGTTACACCTTACACAAGCATCTATCCATAGATATAACTTGTGATTTTGGCCTGTTTTCTGCACCTAGTGTCATCAGGAGTCATGAGTTTAGAGGCTTGGAATGGTCATCATAAAATAAAATAAAACCTTGAGTGTTTCTCTGCAGTGGTGCTAACACAGATGTTGCTGCTGAGCCTGTTGCAAGATCTGGGGTAGGATTTAGAGAGCACCAGTGCAGGTTAAATAATCCTTTCTCCACCAGTTTGTGATAATCTCCACAGATAAAAAAGGGAAAGTGAATCTATCCCATGCAGAGCTGCTGTTAAAACATTATGGTCATGTACACAGCTATGGATATAGCTCTATATTACTATTTGGTGCTTACAGATCTGTGTGTGTCTTGCTTTGCAGCTCTTTTCTCCCAGCTCAGAGGCTGAGGTGAGCTCAGAGCAGCCTGTGCTGGTTTCCTGTGTGGTGAGGTGCAATGTGAGTCACTTGTTGCAGGCTGCAAACGGGCATCCAGCTTTCAGCAAAAGATTCACACAGCTGGCAAAGAACATTTCTGAAGGCATACAACAAAAGGATCTGGAGAGGAAATGTCTGGGAGAGGAACAAAAGATTCCTCCCAGGGTTTGCCTTAGCAGTGCCACGGGTGTGTGGCACTGACCAGATGTTTCAGGTTGCCAGCCTGGGCTGTCGTGGGCTCAGAAATCAAAGCAAAGACAACTGATGAACCCCTAACCCAGCCAGGCTGACAGATCTGCCAGGAAGTTCAGTGAGCTGTGAGAAGCACAAGGACCTTTCTTAGAATTTGGGTAGACAGCGACGGGTATGCATGACTATAAAAGAGAAATCAGATGAGACCTTTAAAGTCTTGGAACATACTTTAAAAATATAGAGGGCTTGAAAGGTCATAGTCAAGGGACTACCAATTTTGTAGCCATTGGCTCATTTGTCCTCTCCAGACTCTTCCTCCCCAGAGGGAGTATTCAATTTCTGTTAAATAAACCCTTTTTGCCTTCCAAACAATTAGTGAGGAACAAACAGCATTTTTAGGAAAACACTGGAGAGCATTTCCAATGTGGTATTTCTGTACAGCTTTTGAGGTTATTTCTCCAACCTTGCTGCTTGCTGCCCTGCTATCTCCCTGGGGTAAGAGGCTGCTCTCTGCAGCGAGCTGAGGTGGTTTCATCTGTGGTTTGTGACACAGCAGTTCCATTTCCTTCATGGCTGGTCAGCACCTGAGAAAAGAGCTCTCCAGCTTCCCCCTGCTGCAGGGTCTGGCCTGTGGGCTGTACTCACCGACTTTGCTGAAAGCCTCTTGTAGCTCTGCCACCTCCTCCTCTGAGAAGTGTGCTGGGGATGCCATGTCTTATTGCTCTGAGGGGCAGGTCTGCAAGGAGAAAGCATTTGTTTCTATCTATCTGGTGCCTTTTGGGGTTTGTAACCAGGATGAAACAGAGGGGGGTTCACTGGGATTTTCTGTCTTGCAGCAGCTCCCCATAGCTGAAAACCCAGCTCCTCTCTGCAGCCCCAAATAAAGGAAGACAACCAGGAGACACACACCCATGTCCCTCCTGTTGTTGTGCCAGGTTCTGCTCAAAATCCCAACTGTTTTAATTTAATTGGCATGAAATCCTACCTCCACTAACTCTCATTTCTCATGGAGAACATGGACAAATTCGTGCTGGTTCTTGTTATTCCCCTTTTGAAATGTGATTCACCACTTGCATCTTCAGCAGCTCTGGCAGAGGAGCTGCCTGTGGGACCCTGGGTTGGTGACAGAGCCCTGGAGGACATTTCCACCCCCTACCTTTGAGTCCCTGAGGAGGAGGCTGGTCACTCTTACAGGGTGGATGAAGAGAAGCTCCTTCACAAGGTGTTCAGAGCACCAGGGTGGGTTTCCCAGAGGGCTGCTTCCCCTCCTGGCCATGGGGAGAGTTTAGGGACTTGCCCCCCAAGGTTAGTGCCTGAGGTTGGGTGGCACTGTAAGAATGAGTGGCTGGAAGGAGGGGTTTTTTTTGCATCCTCTCATCAAAGATATAAAGCAGGAGGGAGGATTAGACTTTCTCTTTCTAGGCACCTTTCTTAACAATCAGAATGGGAAAGTTTACTCACATTTATCACATCATTTAATACACCACTAGAAGATGCACACTACACCCCTCTGCTTTTTCATGCACCTACTGTCTCCTGAATCTATTCAGGAGAAAACTGCTCAGGAGACAGACTCTCTATTATTCTATATTTGTGAGGATGACTCCAGTGTCCTATGTCTCTTTAAGTATTAATTAACCAAACAACTATTTAAACAGAACAGAAGAGAAACCTGAGTTGATCCTGGGAAGTGGTTGCTGTAGCTACACTGTACAAATGAGGAAACAACAAATAAAAATCAGAAATACCTCATTCCCAGAGTAAACAGAGCATCCAGGAGGATTCCAAACTTCACAGAAAGGTAGACAAGGATGATTTTTAAATGACAGATTTGCTATAGCCCTCTACCAAGACACAGAGTTGTGTACAGACAACGTGGGCTTCAGATTTAATGCTCTCCTCAACTCAGGCATTGATTTCTTGTGCCTGTAAAAACCACCAGGGACATGGCTTTGAAGTAGCCCAGAGGCAATCTCATGTGGTTGGCTCTTTTTTTTGGGTCTGCTGTCTCCTTGTAATATCATGCACCCTCTGTCTGCCTCATTCCTGTGATTTTAGGGTAAAAGGGCAGCTTCCAGGGAAAAAGCTGCTCATTCACTCCAACCTTCCTAAGTAGAGAAATGCAACATAGCCCATAATGCAGTTGCCCTTGAGGCACAAGAACCTCTGTGGAGTTTTCAGCACAATGCAGCTGGTGATTGCTATTAAAATACTAATTTAATATTCAAAGTGGTTCTAACCACCACACTTTCAAAGATTACCTGTAAAAATCCATTTGACCCACTAGCAATGTGGGTTAGGTATACTAGGGATAAAATTAGCTCCCTAGTCTTCCTCCTTCATCCTGATATCTTTAAAGGCTTCTGATTCCTCACTACCTCTCTTTTTCTGCTGTGTGGGTTTGTAACATGTGGGTTACCTGAAATGCACCTGGACAAATGAAATTCTTACACTATCAGCAAGAAAAATTCATATTCCACTGCAAAATCATCCCTTCCAGTCCAGCTCCTTGAGCAAGCAATATCATTTGTGAGGCAGCTTTTAATAGGATTAGGACTGTTCTGGATTTTAATGGCTAAGAAACACCACAGGGTATTGTGGTGCACATTACTGCTGCAAAGAGTCTTAGAAGCTTAAGTAAAAATTATCACCAACAGAAAATGGACTTTTCTTCATTGCATAAAAAGCCTCTGATTGGTAACTCATCTGTTAAATACAGAGAATCCTATTCATAGTACATATGTTGATGTGGGTGGGCATTTATACTAATAATACATAATAGGGCAAAGAGCTTTGCTGTAATTAACCCCTATCACATCTCTTTTTGGTCAATATTATCCACTCTGTTGCAAAGGAGGCTACACTTAGCCAAGAAATGAGATGAATCTCTGCAGCAAGAGCCAGAACTGGTCCTTGGTCACCTGAGGAGGAGTTGGATTTGAGTGCTGGAGGTGTCATCACTGCCCACTACGACACACACCCGAGTTTCAGGATTACCTCCAGTCCCAGTTTTGGCAAGGAGCTGCAATAAAGTCAAGCAAAGAGCTGAAAATCTTCCCTGTGGGTATTCTAGGCTCACCTACAGCCAGAAGCCTCTTTGCAATGCACAAAAGCCTTCAAATTTACACTCAGTTAATCAAAATCATGATTTTCAGAGGAAAGGTTTCAGAGTTATTCCCAACTGAAAATAGCTATAATTTTTTTAGTTGTTCAAGCAGAAAAAAAACCAAAACATAGGGAAATTAGGAGAGTAAAAGTCCAAAGGTTTATCAACACACAGCAAAAAGGAAAAAATACACCTTCAAAAAGCTACTTTTCAGGATATAAATTGCTTATTTTGCTTAGATCATTAAAATAAATTATTATATTTAGGCACACAGAAGCATAAAATGTTCTGGATAATGGTGGGGAGGTCAGGACCAATATTTTCCTTCTGATTTATCAGCCAAGCACAGAGTAATTTGCTTCTAATTATGCATTTCTTAATTAATGCACTTGCAGCATTTCCCCATCCTCACTGTAAACTGAAAATACTTTGGGTGAATAGTCTGATTCCTGATAAGCCACAAAGCACTGCAAGCATACAGTGCACTGCCCTGCTCCAAACCATCTGCAAAATCAGTGTGACCAGAGAGAAGCAAGTTAAAAAATGCAGAGAAGGGTCTCAAAGCAGAGAAGAAAACAGGGAGATGATGGGGAATATGGAAAAAATGAAACAGCTCCTTTAAAGGGAATAGCAGAGAGATGTACAGCAAGAAGCAAGGATAAAAGCTGGGCAGGGGGCAGGTATGGGAAGAGGGAGGGGAGGCTGAGGAACAAGTGATGCAAACAGCTCAGCTATCAGCACAGATGAGATTTTGAAGGTCAGCAGCTGCTAGGAGGAAGGATCTTGAATGTAGACATGGTCCAAGATGAGTGAAAGAATTGAAGCTGCTTACAGGAGACAAATGAAAGTCAGCACGTGCTCAGAGGTGGAGGCAGGACGTTGAGGAGGGCAAGACAGCTCCATGGGTCAGAGCAAGAGAGATGGTGGAACAGCCAACAAGAAGGAAATGGAAGGTAATAAAAAATCAGAAGGAAAAGAAAATACTCCTTGAGAAAGTCTGAGCTTTAGATGGCATCAGGAGGTCTGGAGTACGCGCTGCCTGGAAGTGACACTTCGTTCCTGTTTGCCAAACAGCACACATCAGCCATTGCAAAAGCAAAAACAAAGTTGTGCAAATACACTCCTTCCTCCCCAGAACACTGCTGAGTTGCAGGTTACTAGAGAAAAGGGAAAAAGGCCTCACCTAAGCTGCTGAGAATCGTATCAAACTGATATAAAAATAGATAAAAAGAGCCCGTATGAAGCACTCCCTCTCCTGCTGTCATTTCCAAACCAACACATCACAGCCATCCTTTTAATACAAGCCTCCTTTTCATTGACCTTATCCTCAGAAGAATCTACTGTTGCACTGATGTTTTAAGAGATCTAATAACAACCTATTTTCAGTCTGGGATGTAAAGGAAGCACTAAAATAGCCTCAAATCTGAACATTATTGCTAAATTGAACCCCAGCAATATTGATGTTCTTTCAGTTGAAGCCATAAAGGATTTGCCTGGTGATGTCATGCTTGGCAAAGTGTGCAATATCAATAATAAATGGCAAAGCCATTAGAATCTAAAGATTTCCCAGACTTGTATTAAAGAGTTACCTTGTTTTGTATTTTCCTCCACTTCTCTGATGTTTGAGCTTTATGGCGAGCAAGGCAACGCACTTTAAATCTAGCCATAAAATTGTACCTGCCCCAGAAAAGGAAATTTTATGGGGCAACATTACTTTTCACAATACAGAATGACTTAACAGTGAGTTTAGTTTCAAGGAATTTAAATAAATCCCCAATACTTACTCCCTTTTACCATCAGGGGCTTATTTTGTTAACACACTTACTTCGTTAATAGCCCAGGAACTGCTCTGGCTGTTGGGGAGTGAGCAGATAAAGGGCTGCACGTGTCTTCCCTGTCATATATCAATTTCCCTATTTCTTCTGCTATCTTCTCTTCAAAGTTGCTTGTTTTTCTGAGAGTGATGAAACAGGAGGCACGTGCTGTTGCAAAACACAGCTGTTGGAGCTGGATGGGGCAACGTAAGACATTGTGTGTTCCCCTCCACACACAAAACTCTGATTTTACTTTTTCAGAGCTCATAGCTCCATTTCCTTTTCTTTTCCTCTTTCTTTACTCATCCACAAATTCAATTTCCAAACGCCCAGCTTTCTGTAAGGGTTGGGGAATACTTCCCCAGCTGTCTTCTGCATCAGCCTCTCCTTCCCAGCTGATCCACCAGCAATCCCTCACCCCCCAGTGCATAAATACCAGGCAGGAATTATAGAAGTGGCCTCAGAATTGTGCAGAAACACTTGTGATAGGTCTAAAGCATCTTGCAGGCCAGGAAAAATCTGGGAGAAGAGGGAGAATCTTGAACATATTTGATTTTTGTCCAATACTTCTTGCCCCTTGGGGGCCCTCCTCATTCCTGGTCACTCAGCAAACTATCCTTGATAGTATATTCTGCCCCAGAAATATTCCCCTCTACCATTCTCTCAAAGGGTCCCCCACAAAAGTCCATATGCATTTCTGTTCAAATTTTATGTGTCTCACTCATCTGACTTTCTCTAGTATGGGAAGGCTGAGAAGGAGACAAGAAAAGAGAAGTTTCTCCAATAAATTTG